AGGCACTTTACGCAACAGGACGGGAAGAGACGGGCCGACGGTGGTTTTGTGCTCATCAGAGCTTGAAGACCACAGTAAAGAATAGGGCGCTCAATCCGAATTGCCGTTGTCGACGGCTCCCCGTCCTCTTGCGTAAAGTAGCTAGTGTAAATATATGTAAACGTATGTGTTTGTAGGACAAAACAAGCGTTTGCACATATGCCGGGCCTCTGTTCTGATTGGTCATTTGTTAAGTTTGAATGACATTCAGGAAAGCTTCATTGTTGGGGAGAAGCTTATCTTGACCACATGGGAATGAACCTATTCTTTTTTCAGCTTTATAACCTTATAAAATTGTTGGATCTATAACAAATAAACTTACTGAGCACCAGCAATGCCACGCTTTCCTGATGGATAAAGCCGAACCGTTGGCCAGCTGTTTACTCCGTTCTCATTGCACACGTCCATGTTCTTAGTACAATCTACAGACCCAACATTAGCTGTACCATTTAACATCTACATCAGATACAAAACGTCAAAGATCGAATAGTTAAATTGCAAAAAGTGATATCAGCATTGCACTTCAGTGATAACATTGGTAAATTAACTAAAAATATTGTATTATTACTATGAAGATTAGTTATTTGTTTACTTTAATATGTTTGCATTACCTTGGCTAGTTTTCGCCACTCAGGTAGCAAGGCCTGGCACGGCGGACATGAAGGCGAGTAGAAATCAACTAGCCACATCTCCGTCTTCTTTTTCTTCTTGATTAAACTATCAAACATTTTTTTATCCAATGTTACAACAATCGGATTAAGTGTATCCTGAAATACATTTTTAATATATTTGAAAATCAATGTTAAAATCTGCACAGCATTTAAACACATTATCTTTAATCAGTCATTGGTATATTCACATTTTACCTAGGTGTAAGATAATATAATGTACAGGTAAAAAAGCATACTGTTGCAATATGTTAAATTAGCATTAGAATGCGACATTACTGTAAACTCAGCATTTCAACACCACTATCTTTAATCAGTCATTTGTATATTCACAGTAAACATTTTACCTAGGTGTAAATAATATAATGTACAAGCAAAAAAGCATAAGTTGCAATATGTTAAATTAGCATTAGAATGTGCAATTACTGTATACTCAGTTCTTAGAAGCCATAATACTTTTACTCATAACTTTAGCAATGGTTATTCATTTCCAGTAAATGACCCATCATTTTAAATCTTGTAATGTTACAAATATGGACATACTCTTTTAAAAATAAATTTTTGTTTTTTTGGCCAGATATGCTG